CAGTTACAGATACAGCTATACAGATACTGTAACTGTAACTGATACAGGCACGGACAGATACTCACAGCTGGGGGACTGTGTGGGAGATGGCACCTCCACACAGGTGCCATTATCCAGGGTGTGTCCGTTGGGGCAGGTACAGACAGGACCGCTGGGGCTGAGCAGACACAGCCACTCACACTTCTTCCTGTCACAGGAGTTGGTCACTGAAACACATAGGCAAGGCTGAGACCTGTGTGCCCCACTGCAGACACAACAGCGACCGTGCTGGAAAAGACCCAGGTATGTCCTGCTACGTCCTCTCTAGACCCTCCTAGTGCAGCTGCAGTGTCCTAAATGTGCTTTTTCACTAGGACATCTAGACTACCCCTTGCAAGGGTGAATGACTGTTCATCAAAAGGCAAAGGGGTATCATGGACTAAGAAGTTTACTTTGGATTTATGTCTCTGAGTAAATTGTGCAGCTTTTCTAATTCTGGAAGATTTCAAAACACATGGGGGCACATTCAGAAGGACATCAGCCTGTTCGGTGGCACCAGCGTGCCCCGTCTGCTCAGCTGGCACAGCGGGACAGCAAGACGACGCGGGCAGCAGCTGTGCCTGCCGACACGAAACAAAGCGGCACTCACTCTCGGGCTGCTTGTAGCGGTGGTACAGAACCACGTCGGTGGCGTGGTTAATCCCCGTGGTCAGGTTCTCCATGGGGCCCTTGCCAAACTTGTTGACCCGGAAGACGAAGTTGTTGATGTAGGTGACGCCGTAGATGTAGTCCTCGAAGATATCGATGCTGAAGGGGTGGTGGAGCTCTGAGAGCGCACAGGAAAGAGAGAGCAAAGTCATTTCAAGGGCCTGGAGCCGAGATTCGGGAAGGATTTTCTGAAGTCAGCCCCCTTTATAACACCTGCAGTTCCAGGGTCTGTGTGCCAGACTGGGATGGTATAAAGAAATCATGAGAAATCAAGCGTTGGCTTTGTGCCGAGTTTTCCTTTAGCTTTGGAAAAGCAACAGGATTTTGTTCTGTATTTAGAAACCCAAAGTCACGTCTCCAAAAAACCTGCACCTTTAGAACTAATCAGGTATAAAACTAGGGAAAGTTTTTAGTTAATGATGGAACATTCACATTGTGCACATGAATATGGTCAAGCATGGCCAGTGGGTTCTCCATATTCTAATGCAGGATCAGCCCCAGACACTCCTATATGTGCAATGCTCTCATAAATGAGTCTCTCCAAATGCATTTCAGTGACAACCCCAGTATTTGTGGTGTGAGTACTGGAGTCGGGTCTGTCCAAGCTGCGCACAAGAACAGAGGTCTTGTCAGCTCTGCGTGTAGCCAGCCCTGGGGCGAGTGAACACAGGCCCACACTCCTTCCTCCCAGCCCTTAAAGCAGCAAAGCCATACTGAACTGTTTTTGTGGCTGCTGATGGCCACCACCGGGTCGGTGCCATTGAGCCTCACGCTGCCGATGACCGACAGCTTGGCGTCAGCCCAGTACAGGCGCTCGTTGAAGTAATCGACCGCCAGACCTGCAGGAGGAAGGACACAGCGAGAGACGAGAAGGGTGAGAATGACTCCACGCCAGCGGATTCTTCGAGACTTCTCCCTGTTCTTTAACAGGGCAGAGGAATCAGACAGAAGAATATCAGCGGTAGGTGGACTGCTTTGGAAATTCAAAATTCACAATTACTGAAATTGAGAGAGTAAGAGAAAGAGACAGAGGAAAATGAGTCTCAGGATTTCTCTTGTAGATTTCCAAAACCTTAAGGCCTTGACTACATCCGCTCCATAAACCAAGCGTCTTGCTTGCAAATGCACTGCACAATGTGCAAAACTGTAACGGGGCCATCAATACACCACCACATGCGCAAGAACCTCAGCTAGCTTCAGCCCTAGTTTCACAATAAGAAACATTTAAATAAGGCAAGACATTAACCATAACCCTCCCCCCCAAAAATAACCAGCTGCTGACTGTTTGATTACTCCCTAGCAATCAGACTACTTTCAGTTTTAGTCTGAGGAGGTGCCGGCCTCAGGCTTGCAGAGCTAACAGGCTATCCCACAGCCCCCCTCACTCCCTCCTAGTGCTGGCGTGGGTTTTCTAAGGGAGACGGCTCTGTGGATAGCGCGCGTCACTGCTGTCCGATTCCGGCTCTTCAGGTGCAGACCTGTGGGCCACTGGATGTTCTCCTGGACCAGCGTCTCCCTCATGGTGCCGTCCATGGCGGCCGTCTCGATCTTGGGGTGGTTCCCCCAGTCTGCCCAGTACATCGTCCTGGGGAGGCAATAACGGGACAGGCCCATCAGGACACAGCGGGATTCGGGGAGACAAAGCTCGGGTGACCAAGCAATCGAACAGAGCAGAGCAAAACCAGGTAGATAATGGTGTGTGACACCGTAGGATGTCCAGCTATTAACCATGGAGTCGACTACCATATGGAGTCAGGTCAGCTCCCTACAGAATAGTTTAAAAAAGTTAACTATGGTTACATTACACAGAGAATCTGCATTTGATCTTAAAAGGCATTTTTATACTGTGCCCTTCAAATCAGACAAAGTTTTCACTGATTTTTGGAGTATAAATTGAAATGCACTACTTTACAGGAGACAAAGTCCCCCGATCCCCCTGTCCAGACCCTTGCCCACTGCCTTGGACACCAGGCCCCCCCAGGCTGGACCATGACCAGTCTGCTGGCACCACCCCTACCCCCCTCCTCGCTCGCTCACCCTCTCTGCGGATCCACCACGATGGCGTAGGGCTCGTCGATCATGCCCGAGATCAGGGTCTTGCGGTTGAGGCCATCCATGTGAGCCACCTCGATCACGTCCCGGCCGGAGTCGGTCCAGTAAATGTTGTCGGCCACCCAGTCCACCGCGATGCCCCGGGGCATCTTCAACCCAGGAATCTGCGCAGCAGTGAGAGAGAGAGAGAAGGAGGAATGAGAGGTGATGCTTTTCACACCAGTTCCACAGAAACCACGATCCTGATGACCACAGCATTTCTCTTGGGCAACGCTGCAGTGACATCGCCTTCAGCCAATGTCCTCACTGACTGGTGCATGTGGTAGGATTTGACAAGACGGTAAGCAACACACCAACGACAGGCTAATCACAATGGGCAGCAGTGTGAAGCAGTGGTCAGGATTCTGGACTTTGCAATCAGAAGGCTGTGGGTTCGAATCCCAGGTGAGACACTGCTGCTATTCTCTTGAGCAAGGTACTTCACCCAAAGTATAATACTGTATAAATGTGCAAAGTGGCTTTTGATGAAGTGTAAGCCAAATAAAATACTAATTAACTGTAACACACAGTGGCACAATTATGACGTCTACAGAAGCTAATCTGCATCACTGACTGAAGGATTTTGAATGAAAAGGCAGACGACTACGGCATTAGCGAATTTAACAGATCCAATTCGTGCAGAAAAGAACTGGTCAGAGTTAATCCCAGGGATGACCAGTCCTGATCCTGGAAAGTCCTGGTAAGCTTCCAGCTTTTTAGTTTTAGCTGTGTCTTTAATAAGTCAACAGATTTGGTTAACTAGGTTTTGGTTTTTGGTAGGTGAACGAGGGATGGCAAAGGGAGCAGAAATCCCAGCACCAAACGACAGGCCTGAGGAGCTGTCCCGCCCCTCCCCTCCCCTGGTCCACCCCCTGTCTCTGCCCCCACCCACACCCCGCCCATGCCCCACCCCCAGGCTCTGCCTCACCACACCCTGCCCCCTGAGCTCTGCCACGCCCCTCCCCTGCCCTGCCCCACCCCGTCTCTGCCCCCACCAATCCCCGCCCCTGCCCCACCCCCCAGGCTCTGCCTCACTCCGCCCACCCCCTGGGCTCTGCCACGCCCCTGCACCACCCCCAGCGTCTCACCTCCAGGTCAGTGACACGGTTCTCGCTCTGCCGCCGGTTGCGGTTGGAGTTGGAGTTGGGAGACGATTCGGGAAGCTCGTAGTAGGAGATGCGGCCCGTGTGCCAGTTGGTCCAGAAGATCCGGTTCCTCTTGAGGTGGAGGTCCATGGCGTCGATGCGCACGTTGGCGTCTCCCTGGAAGGTCTGCTCGTACACCCAATTGGGCAGGCTGGGGTCCAGGCTGCGGATCTCGTTGTCGTCGGCGATGTACAGGACCTGCCGGTTGTGATCTGCTCGGGACAGGGAGCGGGGGGGGGGTGAGGACGGTGCCCTGCAAACAATGAGCTGTGCAGATTCTTTTAAAAAAAACACTCACAGTCGGCCTTGCAGGTATCGTTGATCTTGATGAAGTTCTTGTGGCAGCTGCACTTGTAGGAGCCCAGGGTGTTGTTGCAGATGTGAGAGCAGAGCCCGAACTGCAGGCACTCGTTCTTATCTGAAAACACAGAAATAGGAACAGGCTGACCCCCCTGCGGCTGGGGAACGTGAAGGACTTGGAAGGGGTTCGAGGGGGAGAAAGGGTGTTAAAAAGCTGCCATAGCCATGGAGAAATCAGGGCTGTCGAAAGTCTTTTTTTGCTCCTGCACTGCATTATCTGCCCTGGTTCCACAGTAAAAAGAAAAGTTCTTATAGGGACATAAGAAAGGTTACAGCAGAGAGGAGCCCATGTGGCCCATCCAGCCCCCTTGGGAGCAGCTCATCCCCCTGAGGACCTCATTCAGGTGTTTCCTGACAGAAGCCAGGTTATCGGCTTCAAAACAAATACATGACTGGGTAGCCGATTCCACACTCCCACCAACCTTTGGGTGATGATGATAATTCATAATACTTCCTTACACTTCTACAGAGCTTTTCTGGACACTCCACTCAAAACGCAACAATGGGGACTCCCCTCCACCACCACCAATGTGCAGCACCCAGCATCCGTGCCCAGTGGTGTCCCTCCCGCCATCAAAAAAAAACTTTGTCTTATGCCGATCGTAGCTGCTCAGTTTTCAAGACCGCTCTCCTCCCGCTGCCTGGGGGATGTGCATCTGCAGACCCCCTTCAGCGCCCCCCTGAGGAAGGGCAGGCGGGAGGGGGGCGGTTACGCACCTTCGCAGCGGTTGCTCTCGGTCTTCTGGAAGCCCGGTTTGCACGAGCAGAAGGAGTCCGAGCCGTTGGTGACGCACTGCGCCTCGCCCCACTCGGTGCAGACCGTCCGGTTGCTCTGACAGTGGTTCTTACTGGACTCTGCACCCCCCAAAAGAAAAGACAGAAAGAATCAGAGATAGTGAACAACCCCACAGAACCTGCAAGGCCATCCGAGTCCCTTTCAAACGGGACAATTTAGCCCTTCACAGATATCCTGAAATCCTTTTCTTCTGAAGTGCACTTAAAAGAAAACCACCTTCAATCAACCCGATAAAGACATACTGGTTCTTCCTCCTGGTGCAGAATACTGAGCTGTAGGGGGGCGATCATGCACAGCAAAAGATCTGTACACTGTCCTCCTCTCAGGGCTGACTTGAGAGTTCAGCTCTACTATCTCTGCGGCTCCAAGGCTGAAAGACTGAACAGAGCACGGCACTGCTAGGAACAGTGGGATCAGGGCTCATTCTCTGCACAGAGATTGTGTGGATGAGACTAAGAGGGATTCTGTGATTTAGCACAGCATGGACTGCACAGCATGAGGGAGTTCAGCTGCTGGATAATGCAGTTTTAAAAGCAGGGTTTTCTGAGGCTCTACAAGGACTGTTTCTGACAGGAGGCAGTCATGGCTAAGAAAGCACCAGTTCACAGCCTGACAGTGGCCCTGGGCATCTTGTCTGCCGACAATGCTGGCGTTGAGGGTTCAAATCCTGTCCCTGGCCATTCAGATGATGGTCTTCAGAGTGACATGGCCCGATGTACCAGTCAGTGCAACGAGACGAGAAAATGTCGTGTTGTTGTGTGCCTGGGTCAGTTTCTTCCTCTGTGGAAAGCACACTGATATTGACCTGACCTCTGGGTGTCCAGCCGGGACAACTGGCACAAAAGCCCAGCTTCTGAGAGCCACAGTGTTCCATTGCTCTCCTGAGATAAGCTGGCAGTGAAACAAGTTACTGGTGCAGAGATATAACTGGATCTTCTGAGATGCGTACAGAACATGGCAGCGTTTTTTAAATAAACGAAAACAGCACTGTGTGCTGCAGCTCCACACACAAACTGGGGACACGGGTGCAGCTATATTGAGCAGTATTTTACCCAGGGTGCTCCAGTGTATAAATGGGTGCCAAAAGTTGCATGCATGCAGGTGTCTTGGGATAAAGGCGTCACCTAAATAAATTCCCTTAGATATATGGTAATAGAGGAAATGGAAAAGGTCTCTTCCCTTCTCTCCCTGCTCACTGGGCCCCTGGCCCCCGACCCCCTGCCCCCAGCTACCTTTCTTGCAGCCCAACTCGTCGGAGCCCTCGTCCTCGCAGTCGTTGAAGAAGTTGCAGCGCAGCGTGGAGCTGATGCAGTGGCCGTTGGAGCAGCGGAACTCGTCCTTCTCGCAGCTGGGAGTGGCTGCGGACGGCTCTGTGGGAGCGGGGGAGAAGACAGGCCGGCGTCAGGGCCGCAGGGCGGTCACAGCAATCCTCACGCCCGCGGAGCAACGCAAAATGTCACAGCGCAGGTCAGTGAGGGTTTGGGAAATGCTGTGACCTGTTATGAAAGGGGCCGGAGAACAAAGAACAAACGGGAGCACACTGAGCTCTCCTCTGCACTCAAAACACTTACCAGCTCTCCCTCTTCAGAGCATCTCTCAAGCCTACTATACAGTAAATGTCAGTTTAGAGAAGCCATTCGATATGTGTTTAGGATTAACATTTAGGTTCAACATTCAGTGCAATGGTATTTCTGACAGAGCTTATCCTTGGCTTCCAGCTGCTCTGAAATGTCACGTGATTTTGTCCATAGACACTCCATACAACAGGTGGTGGTCTCCCCTGTCCAGAGCTCTTCCAAATTTTGAACCAACTGCTTCACAGATTCAACTCTGCTCCAACACCGCTCCAACCCCACCTCACAGAGCACAGATCACATCTCCCAGGACCACGAGTCATGAATTTCTGCGTCTGTTCCCCTGCAGAGCTTCAGTGGCTGACAGCTCCCTGCCCATTCCCAGGCTCAACATGGCGCGCGGCGTTCACCTCCCCCCCCCGGAGACCCTGCTCCATCCGCGGCCCTGGCCCGACTCACCGCAGTCCTGCTCGTCGGTGTTGTCTCCGCAGTTATCGATCCCGTCGCACTGCCGGCCGATCCACAGGCACACGCGGTCGTTGTGGCAGCGGAAAGGCCGGTTGGGCGGGCACTGGAACTTCACTGCGGGAAGAGCGGACAGACGGGTTAAGGGCAGAAGAGACGGGAACCAGCGGGAACGGAGCTCAGGGCAAGACTGTCGAGACGGACACGGGCAGGGACAGAGAGAGGAGAGAGGCAGACGGGGACAGATAGAGAGCGAGGCTGAGGGACCCAGCGAGATGGAGAGAGGGACAGCGAGGGCCGAGAGGACAACGCTGAGTAAGAGGGAGACGTATAGAAGGGGTGTGAAGAAGACAGGCTAAAGGGGAGAGAAAGGGGGGACACGCACTACACTCCTCGGGGTTCTCGTCAGAGTTGTCCCCGCAGTCGTCCTCGCCGTCGCACTTCCAGGCCAGCGGTTTGCACAGAGTGTTGTTACACTGGAACTCGTCCAGGGGGCAGTTCCTCCCGGCTGCTCGGAGAGGAAGAGAGAGGGACCGCAGGTTAGATGAACTCTACGCCTTCCTGCCCTGGCGACCCCACAAAATCTCATTCCAGTTGCTCATCCTCCCAAGGAACTGCACCTCCACCCAGCTCCCCAGCCGAGGGGACGGTTAACAAGCCGGGAACAGTCCTATCCTTCACTGGCAACAAGGAGCATGATGGGTCAGCTGGCATGCGCATGTGTATCTGCAAGTCATGGCTTGTGTGTGGCATGGCTTGTGTTTGCACGCAGGGGCACATTTTGGCATACGCCATCATGTTCCTAATGCTACGCAGCATTTGCATGCTATGGAGCGGGAACGCAAGTCGCCCATTCTTACCACCACTGTCGCACTTCTCCTCGTCGCTGCCGTCCATGCAGTCCGCGTCCCTGTCGCAGCGCCAGCGGATGGGGATGCAGTGGCCATTTTTGCACTGGAACTGGTCGTTGTCACACTTTACATCACAGCCGTTCTACAGTTTGTGCAAAAACAACCAAGAACAGTGTCATGGGAAGGTGATGCTCAGAGCTCCTCTTTTCAACATGCCAACAATGAGCTTTGCTCTTCCCCTGCACAAAATGGTTTAAAACGAGCTTCTAAAGGAGAGGTTCTGAACCTCTGAAATGCTACGCCCCACCCTTTCAGTTAACACAAAACCACAGCACTTGGTGTATGGGATAATAATTTCATTTAAATATTTTTTATTGCTGCTTTCCACGTGGTGTCAAGTCGTTTACTAACATGTATGAAACTGCATTTGTAAGTTGTAGCGTGCATTGCCATAGATCATAACGTGACGTTGATGGAAAGAAACCTTAACTAGGCTCAGTTCCTAATACTGCCGCTAGAGTGGAAATTACTTGTCGTTATTGTAAGATTCAATGCCTGCGTAAGTTCTGCGTCTGTGCAGCTACAGCCATATTTGCTTGGATCCAAGAAAATGGGGACCAAAGTCAATGCAGTCTTCATGAAAGGTTTAATTAACAATTTTTAGTATTAACTTACTGTGATTCAATCAGACTCTGGGATATTTTGCCAAATGAAATTTGGTTTCCAAGAACTTGCTGGTTAGCAGCAAATACAAGCTAGTGACTAAAACGCCAAATATCGTGAGGAGCTCAATTAGAAGACGAGTCTTAAGAGTTCGACTTATAAATTGCTGTAAAAAACGCTGCCTTATAGTTGGAAAAATTTGGGCCGTATTTTAAAATGAACTGTATGCAAAAAGCTCTTGCACCCCCTTATGGGCGCCCATAGGCAGGGTGCCCCAATGGTCGAGATCCCCAGTTCTTAAAGAGCAGTTTCTCCCCGAAGTAAGACTGATTTCGGGGTTCAATTCCCTTTCCCATTTTCGCAGGGCTCGTTGCTTTTCAGTCTGATGTGGGGCTGCCCAGGCCGATCCGATCGCCCCTCACCTCGTCCGATCCGTCGGCGCAGTCGTGATCCCCATCGCACTTCCAGCGGCCGGCGATGCAGCGCCCGTTGGTGCAGGCGAACTCGCTCTCGGAGCACTGCCGCGGCACTGCAGCGGGGAGGTGGGAGAGGGCACAAGAAGGTGAGGGAGAGAGGTGTGCACACGTGCATGCACAAGAGCGAGGGGGCGCCATTTTCAATGCTCAGAGCCGCCATTAAAAGATAGGCGACACTTTACTGGTGATTCCATTGACCCTTCCGAACATTTCCCACGTCTGCAAGGCTGGTAGGGATGGTTATTTCCCAAGTCAGGTTTCAGTCTGGGCTCCCTGTCTGTGTGATGAGGGCAGACTTCCTCCCACCTCCCAGAGACATGCACATTACAGCTTCACTGGCTTTCCAGGGGGGTTCAAAGAGATATCATACTCGGGTGGGTTTGTTCACAGTACAACCAGTGCTGGTTACGTGATCACAGACAAACAGAAACAACTGAGCATGACGACCGGAATCGATTCTTAGTTAAGGCCTGATTTTCTGCTCTCCAGGCACTTTCATGGTTTAATTTGGCTCCTAAATGAATTTATTTCACTTGACTATGAATTTAGATAGTTTGCATCTCTCTACACCATACCTCTCTATACTTTACAATGCTTTCACTGTAATCTCACTCTGTCCTTTCCCTTGTCACAGTTCTTGAACTTTTGAAAGACAATGGGCAGGCACAATAAAAACACAACACAGTGAATCAGACTGCTGATATGAACATATAAAGCCTCTCTATCGTTACAACAGCAGTCACCACAGTACTGGAGTGCTGAATGTATCACGTGAAAAAAATGTCTTGATATGAATAAAAATGATTCTTGAGCATCAGCTATATCAATGTTTTTTTATCCACATTGGGAGGGGTTCTTGTCCTAGGTGGTGAGGAGGTGGGGTGCCAACATCATGTAATTATCAGGCCGCAGGCCGGGGTCTGTCGGCAAGGCATGCTTTGGGAGAAGCTCAATGGATGAAGCCTGGGAAAAACTGGGGAATGCTTCTGGGGGAATCTGGGTTTGCAGAGAGAAGCAAAGAACAACAAGGGCCAGCAAGGTAGAGAAGGGGATGACAGGGAGCAAGTGAATCGATGGGTCTTGACCCTGGTCTCTCAGTTCTGCTACTGCTTTCTAGTGATCTGTGAGACTAGAACGTTCCAGAGACGCCAGGGCCGGCAAATTTAGTCCTGTACTGTACATTCCAAAACCCTGCCAAGTCTAGAACTCAGCAGGGTTGTTAACGTGAATATTGATCAATGCTGTTTCTTTACAGCATTAAGGGACAGACCAAAGATCACTCTTTCACAGAGATTGCAGAGCCCAGTGGTGCCCAGAATGGCATGCCAGGCAGGGGGATTCGGCTCTAGGCGCAGGCCCCTGCTGGAGCCGTTCGGACAAGACCGCGTTAACCTCGCTGCTGGTGATGAATCAGAGCTGAGAGCCGTTAGGGCACTGTTCTCTCAACATCACGGGTTTCTACAAGCCCCGACAGGCTGGAGCTTTGAAAACGGGACCTGTACATCCGGATTTCTCCCAGCAAAACTTCTGAAGTGCTGCTGCTCCTGACCACTTGCAGCAAGTCTACTTGATGTCTAAAGTAAGTCTAAGATGAAGTCTACTGTTGATTTTCACTGACCAGCTCCGGCAGCACCTCTTAAGCAATTTTCTAACATACTGCAATCCTACACAAGTTAAGACTTGATTGGAGGAATGAGAATCTCCCTACTCTTTTTCCTAGACTTTCACATGAACCTTCTGCCTTGTGTTTCACTTCTGACAGTAAGTTACCCAGCAATCCAATCATTTCTGCACCTCTCCGTGATGTTACGATTTTCAATGCCTTGCCCAGATGATTTTTTAATTTTCCAAACAGGAAGGACAGACGGAGATCTTACTTTTTGCTTTCTTTCAGACTAAAACTGGGAGGGAACAGTCAGGCTTAACGGGACAAACCAAGTTGCCGTTTCCCCTAAGTCAAGGTCTAAAATATAGACACTGACACTGGCAGCGCTTGACAAAGTGGAATAATGCATAGAAATACATCCACCCAAGCAGCACACAGCCCCTGCTCCCCAACCCAGCAAAAGCCACAACATGGGTTCAGAAGAAAAGGCATTTGTAACAAAAACAAAAAACACAGACACAACAATACTAGAAAGACACCACAGACAGAGCTAAAAAATGGTGCCCCTGGCCCTGCCAGAGCACTGCTGGAGCAAGGTGAGGAACAGATGGAGGTGGGGTGAAAGGGCAAAGGTGAAAGGGGACACAGCGGGCAGGCAGGGGTTCGAAGGTGGAGAGACCTACCTCCAACAGCGCTGACGGGTCGGTGTGAAATGAAGCATTAACATAAGATGAAGTGAGATGTGTCAATGGCTTAAAAAAAAA